CCCCCCCCCCCCGCCAAACAGTTCAAAATCTTAAACATTGCTCGGTGAGTGTATCCCTGAGCTTCCAGGCAATTTAATTAAGTGTGTCCCAACTTGTTTTCATTAGTGTTTCCATTGACAGGCATTTAAATGATTTATTCTACTTAAAGGTCACAATCTTCAAAAATGAATTCTAATACTGCTACACGACGGCAGTCAAATACACCATACCTAAATTTGGAAATGCTCTGCTAAATCACAAGATAAGGAAAGCGTATAGATTGAGGACAATATCTGTCCACATTTTGGACAACACAGAATTTTAGGAGAGACTTGAAAACCTGTTATTAATAATGTAAGAAGAAGATGGGTTTACCAGGAAGGACATTGAAAAATAAATCCTCAATGCATTGGAAATACTGAAGCAGCTAATATATTTTGCTTTGAAGAAGTTTTGGTTTTGCAACATTGTAAGTTGTGTGTAATAACGGGAAATTTAAGAGAAAGGAAATTTGCTCCCTTCAACACTGTAAAGATTTTCAAGAAGGAAGTTTAGTCATCAGTAAAACTTCAGAAATAAGTAGGATGACATCATCTCATAGAAATCTTTTAAGAAATGAGGAAATTTATATTCCACTATTATGTCTGTAATAGGCTTTTATTTTTTTAAAGTAAGGTAATTTGTTTTTAAATGCCTGCTTTCTGAAAGCAGTAATTTGCCAAAATGGTCTGATACAGGTTTGATGTGGGAAGATGCAGTGAATTTTTCAGGCTTTTTTGGGAATAAAGAGGAGGGCANAATGATTTTGGTAAAACGTCTAAGATATAAAAAACTGCAGGTTTGATGTGGGAAGATGCAGTGAATTTTTCAGGCTTTTTTGGGAATAAAGAGGAGGGCACATTAAGATAAAAGTCCATCTAACCATGACCAATGCTTCCTTTAATTATTCATTTTATTTTATTTATTTTACATACTATGTGCCATGGGTGCATGAAATACCCTTTACATGGGCTGACATTGATTTATTACATTCAGGTAACAACCCTGAATGGTTGATTTTATATGCAGAAAATTAAGGCTTAGAGCTGTTAGAAAATAAAACTAAGAAGCTTTTTTGCTTGCTGAGCAGGGGAGAGCTGTAAGACTTGAGAAAGTTCAGGGAGTTTTCCTGATAGCTGAACAAATGGACTGAGAAGTAATGTATTCCTTATTAAGAGGGGTCCCCACCATCATCAGCTAGGAAGTTTTGGATCTGAGAGCTGATGCAGGTAGTCTGACTTCATGCCAACACATTGCTGATTACAAAAGGCTTCAGATGCCAAAGGAAGAGCAACCATGCCAATGAGTATGTTCATCACACAGACTTCCCATAACTTTGCAATAAAATGAACTCTGAGGGTTATCTCTCACTGTTGGTCACTCGTCCAGCTGAAAGTGGATTACTTCCCTTTCGATAGGCCACCTCTAAGAAGCCCTATTAGTACAAATAGGGGCCCCTGACCAACAGAATGTATTTGTACACAGTGGTCTGGCAGTTGGCTTCATCTGTGTATTTTTAAAAGTAGGTCTTTGTTGATTTCAGAGAGAGGCAGGGAGAGAGAGAAAGAAACATCAGTGGTCATCAGTGGTTGATTGGCTGCCTCCTGCACGCCCTCTACCCGGCATCAAACCCAAAACCCGGGCATGTGCCCTGACCGGTAATCACACTGTGACCTCCTGGCTCATAGGTCAGTGCTCAAGCACTGAGCCACGCCACACTGGTGGGGCTCATCTGTGTATTTTAAAACGTTGGCTTCATTCATTGTAGCAAATTGCTTTTAGAAAATACTTCTGTTATTTGAAGCTATTCTTATATTTTTATAATATTCATAGTTTTTATTGTGTGGTCAGTCCACCACTAGAATTTATAAAAGTTTGTGGTGATTTATTAAAAATGGAAGAAATGAAGTCTTTTTACTTCCACCAATATACATGTCTGACGTGCCCTTCTGAGAATGAGCATGCAAAACAGACTAAACTACACTAAAATTTCACATTAATGTGCAGTCTTAGAACCATTAGTAAGCAAAGAGAAGCATTTGGCTTTGTGCTTTACTGGCTTGCGATTATATTAGGGACAAGAACATATCTATCGATATACATGTATATATATGTGTGTATATATATATATTAAATTTGCACAATATCTAATATCTAATGAACAAATATCTACTTTCTCTAATGACATTCCTGTATGTCATATTCCATTTTAGGTTTATTCAAACTACTATAATAATAAAATCGGTCATTCTCAGTGACCTTACCTTAATGTTATTACATAGGAAAAATAGATATTTTCTATCCAAAGTATCAGTTTAAGAAATCACTTTTATTGTCATCTGCCAGGAGTTTGAACCAAATTATGAGCATCAGTCTGCCAAATTTTATTTTTGCCCTATTTTTAGATTCATCTCAGTTACATTAAACTGAGTAAGGAAAACATTCCCTTCAAGGGCTTCCTGTGAGGCCCGTAGTCCTTGCAGCCTCTTGATCTGGATGTGGCCTTATTCCAGCTTCTTCTTTGTAGGTCTCCTTGTTTTTCCAAATGGCCTACTGGACAGGACCCAGCACCATTTCCCTGCTCTTCTGTTCCATGTGTTCTACATCTATTTCAGAGGGAACAGCTATTCATCGTTGTGCCTGCAGTCATGGGAGTGTTGGCTGAGCCGAATATAGCACCATTTGCTTGCCTTTGCCCTCATTTTCCCAGGCGACAGTCAGGCCTTGGCCCACTGCCCCGTGCTTGGAGAAAGCAAGCTCTCTGGGTAGCTCCTGTAAAATTCTCTTATTAACTTGAGAATAGGAGGTGGCTTCCATCCCCATTTCCTCAGGTGGACCTGGAGACTCTCAATGCAGCAATGATTGTCTTCAAAAAACGTCTGCTCTTTGATAGGCCTGCAGTGAGTAAGGGTGGGCAAGGATCTTGAAATAGGTTCCTTTGAAAGTCTGCCTAGGAAGTTTTAGACTTTTGCTTTGGGATTTTGCTTCTATTGATCTTGGTATTAGGACCCAATTCTAACATTGACCACTTTTTCTAATTGTTGAAAACAATATTCACCGTTAGAGACAAGAAAAGGATATGAGAAAGTCCTTCCTTTTGGAGTATTCATGAATCTGCATTGGTGTGTTCCCTTTAGTGGCCTGATTTAATCATTGCAACAGCTCTGAGGAACTGGGAGTATTAATCCCAATTTACGGGGGAGGGAACAAAGTTTCAAAGAGTAAACTTCTGAGGTCATACAGATATTGTGGGAATATCTGCTGGAAAGACCCTCCTCTTCCTGCTGCACTGCCACAGGTACGACAAATGCATTTAATCACCAATGTTAGCCTAGGACTGCCCAACCTAGTTCTCAAATAGTGACCTCCTTTTGTAGACTTATATATAAAAACAAGGTCACTTCTATTACTAATAATTTTTAACAAAGCACAAAATCTTAAATTGGCTGAGTCTTAAATATATATTTAATTTTTTTCAGACAATAGATTTTGAAGGTTTCAAGCTGTTTATGAAGACATTCCTGGAAGCTGAGCTTCCCGATGATTTCACAGCACACCTCTTCATGTCATTTAGCAACAAGTTTCCCCATTCCAGCCCGATGGTGAAAAGTAAGCCTGCTCTCCTTTCAGGTGGTAAGTTTAATTATTTACTTTAAAAATTTATATACAGTAAAAAAAAAAATCACTATTAAGTTCACTGTAACAGAAGAGATGTTGGCTTAAAAATGACCTTTGTTGCAGGATGTATACTTTCATACTAAAATTATGAAAAGAGTTTAAAATGTCTACAAAATGATTATAGCTAAACATTAGAGAAAATAGACTTTATCAGTATCCATCACTTGTCATTCAATGTAATAAAAGTCTACGTTTAGGTAATAATGTTAAGAGATACTTTCATCAAATATAGAAAAGTTGTCTTTTAAATGAGTAGATTATATATGTGATGTGTGTGTGTATGTATATATATATATATATATATATAGTCACAAAGCAGTTATGTCTAGAAAACATAATATTTAATACAAATTGCGCAAACTACCAATATACTTTTACACACATATACACACATATGTATATATATGTGTGTGTGTATATATATATATATAGTCACAAAGCAGTTATGTCTAGAAAACATAATATTTAATACAAATTGCGCAAACTACCAATATACTTTTACACACATATACACACATATGTATATATATGTGTGTGTGTATATATATATATATAGTCACAAAGCAGTTATGTCTAGAAAACATAATATTTAATACAAATTGCGCAAACTACCAATATACTTTTACACACATATACACACATATGTATATATATGTGTGTGTGTATATATATATATATAGTCACAAAGCAGTTATGTCTAGAAAACATAATATTTAATACAAATTGCGCAAACTACCAATATACTTTTACACACATATACACACATATGTATATATATGTGTGTGTGTATATATATATATATAGTCACAAAGCAGTTATGTCTAGAAAACATAATATTTAATACAAATTGCGCAAACTACCAATATACTTTTACACACATATACACACATATGTATATATATGTGTGTGTATATATATATATATAGTCACAAAGCAGTTATGTCTAGAAAACATAATATTTAATACAAATTGCGCAAACTACCAATATACTTTTACACACATATACACACATATGTATATATATGTGTGTGTATATATATATATATAGTCACAAAGCAGTTATGTCTAGAAAACATAATATTTAATACAAATTGCGCAAACTACCAATATACTTTTACACACATATACACACATATATATATATATGTGTGTGTGTATATATATATATAGTCACAAAGCAGTTATGTCTAGAAAACATAATATTTAATACAAATTGCGCAAACTACCAATATACTTTTACATTGTTACATTTGTAATTTTAAAGAAAAGTTAATTTTTCTCTAAGATGCTTAATTAAATTTTTTCTCAACATAGAGATGATTAGTTCTTTCATGATGTATAGCTTTTTAGAGATGACTAATACATTAATAACCTTTGCTAATCCTATCATTCTCCATCCAGTCAGGAAAATTAAAATCTCACCATATAACTCTAGGGAATGTGAAATAGGAAATGAGGTAAACAGTGTTGGCGAGTTGAAAAAGCAAAGAGGAGCACTGAGGTGATGCAGAGGTAGAACCACACGCTGCCGCTAGGTGGGAGTCATCGAAACCCAGAAGCTGGAAGAAAGGCCCTCTTTGAGCTGGGATGGAAAGTTCTGAATGCTGTGGAGAGGATGCAGCATGGTTGGCTTGGTAGCTCAGGAGCTCAAGGAGGGCCTTGCAGCCCTAGATGTCAGACCCCTTAGGAGCATTACCATGGTCTGTACAGGACCTGTAATGAGACCTCACTGTGCTTTTGATTGTGTGGAAATAAGCAGAGACTAGAGCCTATTGCTACTGGGACCATGTGCTGCGAGGGGGAAATGCTGGAGAGATCCAGCAGGGCGTGCAGGTAGACTAGCCGGAGCCCGCCCCTTCTCCTTCCTGCCCTCTAATCTCTGCAGTGCACCCGCCCTGTGAACCCAGCTGGTTTCTAGCGGGCAACGGAGAAATGGAGTCTACTGCAGCATTTCTCACACTCTTTGACCTTAGGTCTCTTTTGGGCCCTTAAAAATTATTGAGGACCCCAAACAGCTTTTGTTTATGTGGGTGATATCTATTGCTGTTTATCACATTAAAGATGAGACATTCTAAAAATAACCACGAGCAACCCATTATAGGCAACCAAAATTACATATCTTTATGAAAAATGACTTTAAACAAATACTGAGAAGAGGGGCCTTGTTTTACATTGTTGCATTGTCTTTAACATCCTGCTTCTTTAGAGAGCTAAATAACCAGACTTGCTTCTCTGTTGCCATATCTATCTTGTACAGCCTCTTGGAAACACCATGATACCCTCATGAGAGAATGAGAGTGAAAAAAGCGAATGATAGCTCAGAATCATCATTGAAATTGTTTTGACTTTACAAACCCTCTGAAAAGGGCCTAGGGAATCCCAAAGGGAGCCATTGGTCCAGAGACTTCCAGGCCAACCACCAAAATTAGCATGTGGAAGCGTAAGAGACAAGAAGTTTAATAACTGGCCCTCAGATGAATAAAAACTTTAAAAACTATAATTAGGAAAAAGATGATTCAGCCATAAATACAACTTGGGCAATCCTACAAAGGGTCCACACTATTAAGCCTTATACTGTGCTGTGTCCCCTTCTATGAATGAAATAATATATTTTTCCTAGAGTAATTTTGGTCCAAGCTTCTTAGAAACGAGAATGCACCTTCCTTCCACATGATAGATCTGATCCCTTCAAAATATATAAGAATTAATGTTTATCCTAGCCTCTGTCTACCCATCAAATGTTTTTAGTCCCTAAAATAGTTCCTCTTCTCTCATGAATTGAGAGGCCTCGCACTTGCTGTTTTTCTCTAAATCAGCTGTTTTTCTATCTGATCTGTCCTTAAAGTATGGGGCCCGAACTCACCAGTGTTCCAAGCTGAACATTTTAAAATGGGACAACTGCTCACTTTGATCTAGAAATGACTACTTCCCACTTCTCCATTTCATGCTTTAAACGGATTTCACATTACCTTAGATGCAATACAATAACAATGTTTTTCTTATTTAATTGACATGAAGCAACACTGCCCTTGGGTTTTGAGAAAGGAGAAGAGTGAGCATTTTTTGATATGTTTTCTGTCTCAGTAACTGTGTCAGACAGGATACAGACCATAAATCATTTAGATAGTATTGCCAGAAATTTTAACCTCAAACCCTCTTTTTTTCAAATAGCATGTAGTAAGTACTACATGGAAGATGCCAAATTTACAAGGAACAGAAATCAAATCAGGTCTCAAAATGTAAAAAAAAAAAAAAAGATTATGGAATAATAGCTTGTGCTGTGTTTGGGACAATCACATATTCTACACAGACCCGATTTAAAGGAATTACAAGAGAGGCTGTGTAACCCTCCTGCATCTAAACTAAACTAGACAGTGATGCCTTTGAAAGCTTGGCGTCCACCTTTTGAAACATAAGTGCCCAGTGTTGTTTGTGGGGCTGTTTCTAACCCTATATACTTTTCAGACTTTGATACTTTTTTCCCTGGTAAATAAGGAACAGAAGACTGCAATACAGTGTTCAAGGCCTGGGTATCTTTGACTCTGAAACTGAAAAATAAATGTATTTTTTATTCCTAGAACCTTCCTTTGCAATAATCTGAGTTGTCTACCCAAAATGTATTTGTGGCTGAAAAAAAAATCACAGATTAATGTTGAATAGAGAGGCTCTGTTACTTACTTTTGTATTCCCTCTTAGAGTTCCCCATATTTTATTACCACATCACCATCAGGAATATGGTAGCTATTCTTGACTATATATCAATGGAACAATAAGGGTTTCTCAATAAAAAGGAAATCTAAAGAGGAAAACAAAATGTTATTCCTGTTAATGAGCAATAATCAAACATAGGAAATAGATAAAATCTAAAAAAATAGCTTGTATAGAATAAAGTTAAAAAAAAAATCATTATAAATAGCTGTAAAGGTTGCATGTGCAGTTGTGTTTTATTGAACTTTTAACACCTAATGAGCCATCTGAAATTTTGTGTACTGGATGATTTATTATTTTTGGAACACCTTGTTGCAATATGACGGCTTCTTATCACCTATTTAAATATAAGAAGATTACTTCTACTGTTCCCACATTGGCTTTTCATTTTTGAAAGTCTCCTTAGTGCACTATCTTTCTAACTTTGTCAGAGCCTGTTCTGCTTCATTGTAAATGTCAGGTCTCTAATCCCTCACCTCTCGGCTAGTCCAGTGACCAATTTCAGATCTTAACGTCATCCCTAAAATCTATCACTGGGACTATTCTCTTTACAGAATCGTTGAAGCATGTGGAACCTTTGTTTTTCTGAAAGTAGCTCATAAACCCTTAACTATGAATCAATGTTATGATCTCATATTTCAGTTCCTACAACTTGAACACTGACGATAACCAGAGATAAATTTCTTAAATTTCCTGATTGTTGCCATTTCAGGTTCCCAACACCCAGTATTAACATGGCCTTAACACCTCTTCAGTTTTTGAAAATTCTGTTGTGAAATGTATTTATTCTTGATATTTGCTGCTAGGTCAATTAGGTTAAAGTTTTCCAAACTTTCTTAGTTCACTCGAATCTTTCCCCTTCATTCTCAACACATGACTTTTTTTTTTTCCACATCATACAAAAAATAGGCCCAATTATTTCCTACACAACCCAGAACTGTTTCTTCAGCTCACAGAGGATATGTATTAGCTGTATTCCAGATGGAGATCTTCACCTGGATGTCCCATAAGGAGTCAAACTAGATGTGTCTGAAAGTCAAAAAATGGTATTCTACCCAAACTTGCTTCCATTCCTAGCTCTTCTCTTAGCGAATGAACTCAGTTACCTATCAATTTTTCCAGCCCTAAATTCTTGAATTCTTCCTGCCTCCACTGCCTCATGTTTAGTTAATTACAAATGGTAACTACTTCATCTCAGCCATTCTGTTGGGGTCAGTTCTGTTCATCACTGTTTGTATTATAGACGA